GTCCCCCCCCCAAAGCTCCCGGCCACGCTCGCTCCAGCACGGCTCTCAGCCGCGCTCCGTGTCAGAGCCCAAGTGCTTGGGAATGGTCAGAGTTGGGTTGGCTCCCAGCTTCACACGCGTGTTCTGGCTTCACACGTGTGGCTGTGCTTTCACACCCGCCGTGTGTGGCCTCACACTCCCTGACACGCAGCTTTACCATGACATGGTGGTCCATGCGTGTGCACACGTGTGCACGGCTTTCCCAGGTCTGTGTGCACGTATGTGCTTGCCCTACCCCTGTGTGTGTGTGTGTACATACATGTACATACACATATGCTCTTCCCTGGCATGCATGTGCACACATGTACACCTTCCCTGTGCATGCTCACATGTATGTACACACTTCCCTGGCATGTGTGCACATGTGTTCATGCCCTACCCCTGTGCACTTGTACATACATGTACATACATGCACGCTATTCCCTGGCATGTAAAAACACATGTATGCTTTGATTTTCCCTGTGCATGCACACATGTATGTACAACCTTCCCTGGCATGTGTGCATAAAAGTGCACACTTTCCCCATGTGCGTGCACACGTGTATGCTCTTCCCTGACATGCCTGCACACACGTGTGCTTTCCCTATGCATGCCTAGATGCGTGTGCACACATGTGCATGCCCTACCCCTCTGTGTATGTACATCCATGCATGCTCTTCCCTGGCATGTGTGCACACACATGTATGTTTTCCCTCTACATGCACACATGTATGTACACCCTTCCCTGGTGTGTGTGCACACATGTGCATGCCCTACCCCTTTATGCATATACATATGTGTATGCTCTTCCCTACCGTGTATGCATGCACACGCATGCCTTTTCCATGCTCGTGCACACATGTGTGCACACGCTTCCCCTGTGTGCACGCACCCATGTGCACACACTTCCCTGACATGTGCACACAAATACATGCCCATCCCTGGTATCTGCACACATATGTGTACACTCTTCTCCCGTGTGTGCACACACATGTGTGTACGACCTTCCCTGGCACGTATGCACACATGTACATGCCCTTCCCTGGCACACATGTATAAGTGTGCACCTTTTCCCTGTGCACGTGCACACCTTTCCCTGTCATGTGTGCACATCAGCACATGCTTTTTGCCTTGTGCGTGCCTACGTGTATGCACACTTGTGCATACCTTTCTCTTGTGCATGCACACATGTGTGCACACCCTTTCCTGGCACGTACATACACACCTTTCCCTTGTGCAGGCACACACGTGTGCACATGCATATGTACACCCTTCCTGGCACGTGTGCACACGTGTGCGTGCCCTTCTGCTCTGTGCACGCGCACGTGCCCATCCTTCCTGGCACTCGTGTGCACAGCCCTTCCCGTGCTTTCACACCCTGTCCCACACCTATCAGTGTCCCCCACCCACCTCACTGTCCCCTTGTCCCAGCAGATCCCATGGTCCCGATGCCAAGATCCTGGAGCAGGGCCAGGGCCAGGGCGAGCCCCGCGGGCAGCTGACGCTCAGCCACATGCTGCAGATCGCCACGCAGATCGCCTCTGGCATGGTCTACCTCGCCTCCCTCCACTTTGTCCACCGTGACTTGGCCACACGCAACTGCCTGGTGGGACAGGACCTGGTGGTGAAGATTGGGGATTTCGGGATGTCCCGGGATATCTACAGCACCGACTATTACCGGGTGAGCTGTTGGGGAGCTGCCCCGTCCCTCCCCTCCACTCAACACTCCATTTTATCTCTTATCCCCCTCCCCAACCCATCTCCATCCATATTTAATCCCAGTCATGGACTGGTTCAGGTTGGTAGGGACCATTCAAGGTCAACTAGTCCCTGCCATGAGCGGGGACATCTTCAGCCAGAGGTTGCTCAGAGTCCCATTCAACCTGACCCTGCATCCCTGGATCCTGGGCACACGTTGTCCCTGTATCCCAGGATCCTTGGTACACATCAGCCCTACATCCTGGGATCCCAGGCGCTTGTCATCCCCACATCCCTGCATCCCTGGCACGCATCATTCCTGCATCCCAGGATCCTGGGTACATATCAGCCCTGAATCCCAGGATCCCAGGCAGACGTAATTCCCACATCCCAGGATCCCAGGCAGACATCATTCCTGCATCCCAGGATCCTGTGCACACATCATCCTGCATCCCAGGATCCTGGATACATATTGGCGCTGCATTCCAGACATACATCATCCCCATATCCCGGAATCCCAGGCAGACATCATCCCCAAAGCCTTGCATCTTGTGCACACATCATTCCTGCATCCCAGGATCCTGGGCACACGTCATTCCCACATCATGGGATCCCAGATACACATCATCCCTGTATCCCAGGCAGATATCATCACTTCATCCCAAGATCCTGGGCACACAACATCCCCTCATCCCAGGATCCCAGGCACACATCATCCCCTCATCCCGGGATCCCGGACACACATCATCCCCACATCCCAGGATCCTGGACACACATCATCCCCTCATCCTGGGATCCTGGACACACATCATCCCCACATCCCAAGATCCTGGACACACATCATCCCCCCCCATCCCAGGATCCCAGGCACACCTCATCCCCCCCCATCCCAGGATCCCAAGCACACATCATCCCCACATCCCAGAATCCTGACCTTGAATTTCTCACCACCCTCAGCATCAAAAATTTCTTCCTTATCTCCCATCTGAGACGCATTTAACGAGCAGGACCAGGGCTGGGGGTAAATGAGGGGGTCCCTGCCCCACTGACAGCCCCACTGTGGGTAGGTGGGGGGCAGGACCATGCTGCCCATCCGTTGGATGCCCCCTGAGAGCATCCTCTATCGGAAATTCACCACCGAGAGCGATATCTGGAGCTTCGGCGTGGTGCTCTGGGAGATCTTCACCTACGGAAAGCAACCCTGGTACCAGCTCTCCAACACCGAGGTGAGTGGGTGGGGAGGATGAGGATGGTGATAGACCCCACCATGGGGGTTCTGGGTGGGGAGTTACTTCATCTCCATCCTTGGTTCTCGCAGGCCATCGAGTGCATCACGCAGGGACGGGAGCTGGAACGTCCCCGCACGTGTCCCTCCGAGGTGTACGCCATCATGCAGAGCTGCTGGCAACGGGAACCCCAACAGC